TCCCTTCCTCTAAAAACCTCCCGAAACCCTAGAAAAACTCACGAAAAACTGCCAAAACTCCCAAAAAACCTCCCGAAGCATCTTCCCCCGCCCTAAACCCACACTATTTACCAACAACGCACTCCACCCCCCCTGCTCCCCACGCCCCTATAAAATCCCAAACCGCTCCAAACACTCCCTAAAATCCACAGAGAGCCCCAAAATCTCTCCCCCCCAAATGTCCAAAAAAACTCTGAAAAGCCTTCACTTACGCGTTATATTCCCCGAAAACGTGGTCGCTGCGTCTGAATATCCCCTCCCCTATCCCCCAGGATGCCCGAGGAGGCCCCTACGTCCCCCTAGGCGCCATCACCACCGGAAAAACCCCGAGAAACTTCACCAAAAAACTGTCTCATCCACTCGAAAACTCGGGGCACAAAAAAAACAACAGCCGCTATCTCCGAAAAATCCACCCGGAAACTGCGTCCCGGGGTGTCCCCTGTACTTCACCAGTCGTTCACTTCACTTCACCATTTCAGTGCGAGGGAAATAACGTAAAAAAACATGTCTCTCTCACCACGAGGACGAGATAAATCTGTCCTTGTTGGGCCCGGGGGAGGGCCGTGAGCGTCACAACAGACTGAGTTCACAATTTTTTTTTACAAAGATTTAATAATATTTCGGTGGAATGAGTCAGTTGGAATTATTCACGTCACTTTTTATCCGGAATTTTTCCTCTCCCCGTTTCACTGATGAAAACAATATTTTATTGTTTTGGGTTTTTTGTTTTTATCGGTTTTAATCACTTGTCGGGGGAGTTTTTGGAGGCTCGGGGGTGGGGGATGAGACTATGGGGGCGATTTTTCGAGGGATTGAGGAGATTTTTTCACGGTTTTTGGGGAGTTTTTCACCAGGAAGAGATTTATTTACGTCGCACACGAGGACCAAACGGGCCACTAGCTCGTGTCCATCTTGAAAAGGTCATGTGTGTACGGTTGGGTATAGGCTGACTCTCTCCGCAGTTGTAAACAAGAATTGCGCATGCGCCGGGGCAAGGAGTGGGGGGCAATAGGGGAATCGAAGCTGTTTGAATTTTTGAGGAGAGTGGTGCGGATGTGCGGATAGATTCCCCGGATTGTTGTTTATTTTTGTTTTTTTTACGGGTTTTCGATGAGACTGGGAAGATTTTTCAATGCTTTTGGGAATTCTTTTGGAGCTTTTGCGGGAACAAATAGTTCAATTATCAACGATTTTCTTTTACTGTAAATTGATTAATTTAGATTTTACTTATTGGATAAATTAAATGGGGACAGTTGGTAGAATAATATTATCAAATAATTGTTCAATCTAATTTTTTGTATTTTGTTTTTGTTTTTTTAAGGAACCAATACTACAATTATCAACGAATTTTGATTTTTTTTTCAATTGATTATTAAATAAATTAAATAGAGAAGGTTTGATAGAATAATATTAGCAATTAATTGTTTAACCCAATTTATTGCTTTTAATTTCTGTTTCTTTGAGGAACAATTTTTATTTCAATTTTTTTTTTATTTCAATTTTTAATCAATTATTAAATAAATTAAATATGAAAGGTTTGACAGAATATTATTCATGAATTTTTCAACCTCATTTTTTTTTAGGAATAAATATTTCAATTACGACAAAATTTTGATTTGTTTTTTTAATTAATTATTAAATTAATGAAAAATGGAATCTCTGATAGAATAATATAGTTCAACATAATTTTTTGTTTATTTTGACATTTTTAAGGAGTTTCACCTGTAAAAAAATACGAAAAAGGAATGCAATATTTTTCTCAAACTTTTATTTCAAAAATTCTAATCATACATTTTTCGCATTCAACCACACTTTTTTCCATATCATAACAACGTTACAATAAAATTAAGTTATGGAGTTGAAGAGGAAAATATATATGCGTGGGTCAAGCAACAGAAAAATTCGATAAACTTTAGTGCAAAATATTTATATCCTATACGTGAGCAACTGTCGATAAATTTTTAGTTCATTTTTTTTCAACTCGTTGATTCGTCAGGGAAGTGGCGAAACGTAAAAGTCGATTTCCAATGTCTTGCTGTTTATTCAATTATCCTTCCAATAATATTTTTGCGGGAAGAAAATTCATTGACACTTTCTTCCCTCTTAACAGATGCCAATTAACCTAAATCACGTCCCACCACTTCACCACTTCAGTCACTAATTTTTTTAATAAAAAATAATGCAAACTCAACTCAAAGTTCATCCATTCCTCATTCAACTGACAAACATTGTTATAAAAAATAAGTACTCTAATATTTATTGTACTTTATCTCTTAATACTCTCAAGTGATTAAACTCTGAACATTTTCAATATTTTTGTTTATACTTCAAGTTTCAAAGGCACTTGAATCACAATCGTTGAATACTCGTCGTTATTGTGACCCTGTTGTCCCCATCACAACTATTCCTTACTCTATTTTCCTACGATTCAAATCGTAAAAATGAAATGAAAAATTAAAAATCAAAAGAAAAAAAATGAAAAAAAAATTAATATTGGAATTAATTAAGGGCAATTAAATGGAGTAATTGTCACTAACTATTCATTTGAAATGAATTTTTCTGATTTTTTTCCATTTTATGAGAAAAAAACACTTCAGTTATCAACGAATTTTGATTTTAATTTTCAATTAATTATCAAATAAATGAAATACGGAATGTTTGATAGAACAATGTTATCAATGAATCGCTCAACCTAAATTAATTGACCCTAGACGAATATTCCAAGCCTTAATAAATAATTTCAACGAAAAAATTGAAAAAATGGGATGAGCAAAAAAAACTGTTCGCGTTAATTCGTGAATATCTCTGAAACCATTGGGTTCATCGAAAAAAGTCACAAGACATTTCTTGCAGCTTATAAAATTCCCCACAAAAAATGTCTTACTCATATTCCCCTAAACACAATAGCTGCCGAGATATCTTCATAATGAACATTATATTTATCAGCTCACCTCACTCCTCAATTTCTCACAGGAAAAAATCAAAGTTTCGAATTTCTTCGAAATAAAAAATGAAAAAAAAATTAAAAAAATAAAAAAAAATTAAGGACTAATCTTTGTCATGGGACTTTGGAACTCGGTGAGACCCCAGGGTCTTAATACATTTTCACGTCTTAGATAATAAAAAAATAAAAAAGTCATATTCTTAACCAATATTTTCCCGTCATTATTCCTCTCAGTATTTTTTTCTCAAGCGAAAAAATTCTCGCACATACTCTCTGTCATAATCATAATCTTCTAGACGATTTTAGAAAATTACACATTTTCTTAGTTTTTTTTTTCAGAAGCAATTTCATTTTTTTCTGTTTTCCAGAAAATCGGCTTTTTGCCTTTTAAATTTTTTCGCAAATGGAAAAATTATCGGATGGTATTTTATACCGTCATCATCATCTCCTGGATGATCTCGACATCATCAATGCATTTTCTCTGAATTTTTCACCATTTTTTTAAAGCTTTGAGATTTTTTAAAGATAATATAGGCACTCGGCTAGACTATCATTGGGTCGTGCCTGGAGATTCTGGCCCACGAGATAAGCCAGCTTGTGGGCATACTGACAGGGCGCAGGTACCCTGATGGTACCTGGCCAATTGTAGTAAAGGTGGCAGAGTTTGTAGGAGAGCCTCTGGAGATGATCAGTCTTGAAGCCTGCCTCGTCGAGAAGAACGACGTAGTGAGTTGGGGTGACTGTACCCTGTTTGGCAGTCTGAGGTACCAGAAAGAAGTCATACCAGTTTCTTCGAGTCACCACTGAGTCGACAATCGTTCCTGGCACCGGGTTCTGCAGGTTATTCCCTTTCTAAAGAGAAATAAATGAAAACAAATCAATAAATTTCCAAATTTAACATAAAAAAAAACGAAATGTGCACAACTGTTTTCATGAATATCTCGAAAACTACGGGGTTTAGGGGAAAATGTGAAACGACATTTTTTGTTGAGGATAAAATTTCCAACAAAAAATGTCTTCTGATATTACCTCGTACGTCGACTCGTTACCGAGATAATTTTTATTGAAAACGATGCCATTGAAATGATCAACTAAAAATTCACGAGTAGAAAGTAAAAATGGAAGAGTGGTCTCACCAAAGTCATGACCCTCGTGTTGATCCTCTTCTGCACAATAATGACAGTCAGCTTCGGTGAATAAGAAGGATCGACCGATTTAAATGCATCCTTGAGCTGTCCAATCTCGTACTCAGCAATGAAATTGAGCTGTCCGTCTCCAACGCCATCACGATAAACGATAATTCTGTCTGGGTAGGTGCCACGTCGCCTGTTGTAGGCATTCAGAGCGGAGACAATGCAGGTCTTGAGAATGTCGATGATCTCCTGTTGAGGGCCCTGAATACCAGTGCTGGAGTGCCAAGTGGTCATGGCCTTGTCGAGACTTGCCACCAACCCAGTGACACTTCCAGTCTTGGGTTGACCAGCTGGGGCATGATAAACGTCCACTCCCACCACCATGACGTTCTCGAAGGGCATGACGAGGGCCCAGGGGGCACCACCCAGCTTGCAGTTCATCTGAATGGCGATTTTTTCAGCAACTGCTTTTATTTTCCTCTCGTCGGAGATTGTCTTTGTGACGATGACCTGAAAAAATTGAATTATTTATTATTTTTGCTTTTGTTCCAATGTATGCAACAAATTTTTTCTTCAATTGTTCGCTAATGAATGGATGGAATTGTTTTTTTTCTTCAAATGTAGGGATTGTTGAGCCCTAACGATCGCCATTAATTAAAATTTAATTCATCGATTAGTTTTTTTAACTTTCGATTTTTTTCTAAAATCGGTTGTTCCATGGTAATAAACAAAAATGTTCTGAATTGATTGAATGATGGCTTAAAAAAATTTGTTTGGATGTGCTTTTGACCGAGTTCGAAGATGAAGGCGATAGCAATAATCGTTATTTTGATTTATTTGAAAATTGCAAAAATTTTGTATTTGTTGAAAATCGGAATTCCGGGGAAATCTTTGAATATTATGCTTCAAATTAATTCAATCATAGCTTAAAATGTTTGTTTTAATGCCATTAAGTCGAAGTTAAAAGATGATTACGATAGCTACATTGGTTGATTTGATTTTTCTGATGGTTGTTGAAAATTTCAAATTTTTCATAAATTTCCCTGAATGTGAGCTTTCTGATGGTTTCTTCAAATGTGATGTTCCAAATTCATTCAAGTATGTAAATAAAATTTTTCTATATTAACATTTTATCGAAGGACTGACGGGAGAGATAGCACTGTAAAAAAAAATCGGTTGTATAGAAGAAAGGGATAATAAGAATAATGATGATGATAACATTCAAACAAGTTGAAAATCCGAGAAAATTAGTTGAAAAAAAATCTTATTCAATTTAATAAAATGAAATGAATAATGAATTATACATGATAGAAGGAAATGATGTGCAAAATAACCATTCTGAAGCATTGCAAAAGGATAAAACAAATTGCAGAATGGAGTATCCTATCATTAACTATCAATTACGGAATATTTGAAGAATTAAAATATCTTCATCATCTTGATTTCAATTTTCAATTAAAAAATTTAGTAGCGAAATGGTCAAACGATTCAAGTTAATTTAGTCTTTAGTTGAGTTTTCCAGAAATATTTCCGAATTTAAGGGAGACAGCGAAATTTTCATAATAACCTTTTCTGTAGAGGGAATTGAGTGCCACTAAAAATGCGATGGGAAAATTTTTCCAATCTCCCTTAGATTTCGAGGTATTCATTAAAAAATGGCCAATAGCCAAAATCGACTTGAACCGTTTGATCGCTTCCCTACTGAATTAATAATATCAACAACGAATTATTCTACCTAAATTAATCGTCTGCAGATGAATATTACAAGCCTTGACCATTAATTTTAATGAAAAAAGTCGATAAAAATATGAGCAAAACAATACTAACTGCATGGATTATCACTAAAATCATTCCTTTGCTAATTACCACTGAAGACTACTCACCTGTGACCTGACGGGACACTCGATACAGCAGACCTTCTTGATAGCAGAATACCTGTCAAGCCTGACTGTCGGTACAATAGCAACAATCATATCCACATCAGAACTAATGGCCTTCCTGATCTCTTGGACATAATTCTGAGTGCTGTCATTCCTCAGTGCAACCTTCTGAGGATTTCCAATGTCCATCCTCATCGTTCCCCCAACTCTCTTCAACATCTTGATAAATTCATCAGCAATTTTCTGGTCCCTCTCAGTGAAGCAGATGAACCAGTTCTTCATTCCATCACACCTCAGGAGGGGATTGGTGGTGGCTGGTCTACCCCAGTCTGCCTTCTCGTTTACCTTGAATGTCGCTCCATTACCAAAATGAATAATTTCAGCTGGCAATACTCTTCCCTTCAATCTTGTCAGATCATCTTCAATCTGCAGCCCCCAGTACTGGAGTAATTCATTGGCAATGGGTGTATTTTTCACGTCTTGAATGAACTTTCTGATCACCTGACGACGTTGCTCAGGTACAACCTAGCAATAATCCAAATTTCAATCATATTTCTAAAAAAAAGCATGTGAGATTTTCAATCATAATTATTAAGTAATTGTAAAAAGTAATTGAAAAAACCAATATCGAATGTGGCAGGAAAAAGGCCATAATAAAAAAGGAACAAAAATTTATGAAAAACACAAAATTAACATTTCATGTAAAAAATAATGAAAGATAGATTTTCCAAATTTTTCTCACCAAAAAGCCTGGAAAATGTCAAGTTAAGGTCTGGGTGTACTATCTTTCGAATTTTATATGGATTTTTTTTATATTCGTAATCCAAAATTGTCAATTGAGTGGTAAATCATGTAGAAATTCTCAAAAATTATGAGAATGATAAAAAAAATAGAAAAAATTCTGAACTTTTTCAAAGAGCGTTTTAAATTGAGATTCAGAATGAGTTGAAAAAAGTGGAAATTACAAATATCTGATTCGCTGTGGCAAATGATCTATTAGGTGTCATTTTCTATGGTGGATAACAAACCACTAACTCCTCATGAGAAGTGACAGTTAAGTATCTCAATTTTTAAAACAGTGGTATGTAGTCATCTGCCATTTTTATGTAATAAAAGTTTGATTAAAAAATTCTCCAAAATATTACAACTTTTTTCAAAGAGTCTTTTCCGTAATAAATGTCTCTGTGCAGTGTGGGAAAATATTTACGAAATCAGTTTTCTCCCGGCATGATATTGGTTGACAGGCCGCCATTTGTCACCGTAAATCAGATACATTTTTCCATTTCCTGTTATTCAACTTATTCTGAATATAAATTAAAAATGCTCTTTGAAAAAATTGAGAATTTCTGCTACTTTTTTTTGGATTATTCATTAATAATTTTTCAAAACTTAGATGACGAAAGATGAAAAAAAATAGAAGATAGTACACCCGGGCCTTAAAAACAACAAGACGATGGCCCATGTTGTCCCAACCATTGAAAAAATTATTTTACCTGAGTAATTGCTGCCAAGTCCCTCATGATCCTGAAGTTGTTTCGTATTTTGTCAGTTAGACCAGTGAGATAGCAAAGCTCAGGGATCAGCAGGACCTCGTCCTCCTGGGTTCCCCCCTGAGGGAGTTTCTTCTTGGCCTTGTGATAGATCAGGGGCTGCTTCATGTCCACAATCTCCATGTTCCAATGGGCCTTGTAGTACTGGGCTAGAGATATGTCTTTCCCCTTGCAGTCAAACGTGAAGCTTGGACTCTTGTCCCAGTGGATGTCGTCAATTCTGTAGGTCTTGTTGTTGTATCGAGTGAGAACTGTCATCCCCAGGAGTTCGGCTGTCACCGCATCCCTGAAATTTCCCCTGTCTCGAGTCTGCCTGAGGAGTTCTCCCATGTAGTCCCGAACTGTGTCGGTTCTCATTACCCTGTGGGATAATTAAATCGTGATTATTTGTCCTGGAATCTCTGAGGAATTCTCAATTATCTCATTAGCGAGGGGATTTAGGGGAAAATGTGAAGAGACATTTTTTGTGGAGGAGAGAATTTCCAACGAAAAATGTCTTCTGACATTTTTTCACAGGATCAATGGTTACTGAGATTATTGGACAATTAGGTGACGTGTGCTGATTGAAGGGGAATATTCCATTTTTAGTCATTCAAGAAAAAAATTGATATTCATTTCTAAATTGGATTAATAAATGGAGTTTTTTTCATAGAACATTTTACCTGTGAGAGGCGTCGATGTTGAGCTTGAGGCCACCCTCGACCTCCTCAATGGCTGTGACGTAGCCTGGCCAGAGCTCCATCTTGTGCTGCTCCACTTTATGGGCACAACGGGGATTGAAATTGTTGCGATTTATCCGCACCATCTTGAGGCAGTTCATCACTTTACCCAGTAGAATGTTGAAGAACTGGACTGATTCCGAGGGCTTCTGCTGCTTTTGAAAGATCAGGGTGATTGTTACAGGCACGTCGTCATGGCGAATCGATTTCAACGTCGTTTGCTGAAACAATTGCATTATTTAGAGATATTTATTAATTACTGCAGTTGTTTTTTGTTGTTTCATTCATTTAATGATTGATTAAAAACTAAAATGCAATTACGTTTGATAATTCCAATATTTGTTTCTCAGAAAATGATTTTTATTGATGTTTGTCAGTTGGATTGTTTATTATTAAATGTTGTTAATTCTATTTTTCTCATCTTGATAAAAGAATTCTGGAGAAAATCCTCCATTCGTTAGAGGAAATAAGAGGAAACATGTTGCAAAAATTTAATGAAGAATATTTAAAACTTCTTCTCATCAAATTTAGTCAAGGAAATTACCTCTTCAGTTAATCTGTTGGGCACGTAAAGCAGAACTCCATCGAATATTTTGCATTTTCCCAGCAACTGCAGATGCTGATTGAGGAGAGCATTCCTAACACGTGGTGAGTCTGTCTCAGGTTCGAATCTAGTTTCGTATCTGAAGATTCCCTTGTTAGGATTGTTTGTGAGGCCCAGGTAATTCGACATGATGTCCACAGGATCTCCACTGGTTCCCATTCTGGAGATGGGGACACTGAGATCACTTCCAGATCCTCCAGAGTGTTCGCCAAGGGTCATACCTGCCAAACTACCAGTGACACCTTGGTTGTCTCCAGACATGCTTGGGGCAGGAGGTGCTGCTGCTGCTGTTGCTGGTGCCTTTGGTGGCTCCAACTGCGGTGGCAGGGGCTCTGCTGGGAGCGGGGATAATGTCGGCTGGGCGGTGAGTTTACTGATGAGAGAGGCTCGACCCATGCCAACTCGTGGTGGCGCTGTTGGTCCAGCTGAAGTGGTAAAAAAAACTTATGATGGATAAAACAAATTTATGAAAACTGTTTAGTTAGGGAAAAAATAGAACTACTTCAGTATTAAAATTCAAACGATGAAAAACAATGATTATATTGACTCGATTAGAGCTTCACAATTTGTAATTTTAGAATTACATTATCTTTTGTTTCTCATTCAAATTTCGAAGTGCTTTTTTTCAACGTTCAGCGAAATTAAGAAAAAAAAAATTTTTTTTGAGTACACGAAATTATATAATTGCAAATTTAAGTGCATTCTTCAAGGAAAAATAATGTTATGTCAAATTTAAACCCCAAATATTGAATATGCTTAAGAGCCTCTAATGGGCCATGAGTTCATATCAATCCATTAGAATCCACAAAAGTTTTCCACACTTTTGGAGTTGCCGAGACATTTTTGACAATTTCAATGTGATGAGTGATTTCTGGAGAACATTTCGGGGAAAATTTCCTCACTGATCATCCAGATAATTAATGAATAACTAAAAAATTGAATATTTCCCTTGAATCATGTACCATCACTTAATTCTTCAAAAATTTCAGGAACTACTGCTCCTATGAAAAAATGTCAAAAGACACTTGTTGGTGAGAATTTTCTCCCCCAAACAAACGCTCTCTTGACATTTTTTCATAAAATCACTCGTCATCGAGATACATGTACAATGAAAAAAACAAAATTGTCAAAATTGATGGAATTGATTCTTCAAGTCATGTTTAATACTAAATGTCATCCTCTCGGTGATTAGTTGGTTTGAGAGACAATTTCAGGGGAACATTTTGTGGGAAATTTCCTCATCTACAAAAAAACGTCTGCCATTTCCCTCCCAATCCGCTCATCCCCCAGATAATTAAGGAATAGCTAAAAAATGTAATATTTCCCCTGAATCATGACATCATCAACTAATTGTCCAATAATCTCAGTAATCATTGATCCTATGTAAAAATTTCAAAAGACACTTTTTGGTGGGAATTTTCTCCTCCAAACAAATGTTCTCTTGACATTTTTTCACAAAATCACTCGTCATCGAGATACATGCACAATGAAAAAAACAAAATTGACAAAATTGATGAAACTGATTCTTCAAGTCGTGTCTAATACTAAATATGTCATCATCTCGGTGATTAGTGGGTTTAAGAGATCATTTCAGGGGAACATTTTGTGGGAAATTTCCTCATCGACAAAAAAACGTTTGACATTTTCCTCTCAACCCACGAAAAAAATATGAAGGTTTAAATTTAATATTCCCCCGGAATCATGACACCATCAACTAATTGTCCAATAATTTGAGTAACCACTGATCCTATGAAAAAATGTCAAAAGACACTTTTTAGTGCGAATTTTCTCTTCTAGACTAAAGCTGTTTTGATATTTTTCCATAAAGCCATTGATTCGCATGCTAAACTCTGATTTAAAAATTCTCTCACCAGGTATTTGAGCTGTAGCAGCACTAGATGTTTGTCTGAGAGTCGTCTCCAGTAGATTAGCCCTCCCTCGAGCCTTGCTAGGCGATGCAGTTTCACTGGCAGTGAATGGTGAGCTTGGAGGCAAATCCACAGGGGCAGCCGGAGGTTCATTTCTTGGAGGGAGTGAAGGGACTGATCGTGTGGGGAATCTGGGGGGCTGGGACATCGAGGGAATTGATCTCGTTGGAAGCTGTGGAGCCTGTGCAACTGGGAGAATTGATCTTGTGGGAATTTGTGGAGGAACAAGAGCTGGGGAAAGACCTGCTGGTGGGATTGATCGTGTTGGCAGTGAGGGTCGAGGCACAGGAGCTGGGGATTGAACCATTGGTGCTGGTGCTGACTCAACCACTGGGGGTGGCAATGCCTCTGGAGACTCTCCAGCTAATCCTTGGGCCAGTGCCTTCTTCTTCAAGGCCTCTATCAACGCACCTCGACCACCTCCACGACCACCTCGTCCTCCTCCTCGATCCATTTTCCCTGGATTTTACTCTGGAATTTATTGAAATTCGTTGGTACTCAGGTAAACGAGTTCTACTGTTGTTTCAGGCATAATAAATTGACTGATTTATTTAGTTTCAACTTTTAGTCATTGGAAAATCGATGAGAAAACACAAAGATATCCTCAATTATCTTGAAAAAAATTAACAAATTCACGAAAATTTCATGTAAATCTCTTCTCACATTTTTCCCCAGAACAGTTTCCAGGTGTCAGCGAAACTAGAACTGCTTAAAATAATCCACGAGTTCATTAAAACACGTACAATCAGAATCTAACGTAAGCACAGACAAGATAATATCAATTATTCTCAAATTGTAACAAATTTTTAAACCTTTTGTAATTTGTAAATTTGTAATTTATTATCCGTTTTGTAAATAATCAAATAACTATTGCTACATATCAATAAAAAAACAAAACAGTTTCTAGTTTCCATTCTTAAATTGTTGATTTAGAAATTAAAATAATAGAGCTGTTGATGTCTCAATAGAAACTATGAAAACCTGTTTTCTCCGAAATGTGAGTTCAACTGTAAACAAAAAATTATTCCTGATATTTTTGATGACTCCCAGAAGAGGGAGTTCGACTGTAATTTTAGGTATAATTTAATTTAAACTTTTAGGCATTAAGAAATCCGTGAGAAAACCCAAAGAATTTCTCAATTATCTTAAAAAAATTAACAAATTCACGAAAACTTCATTTAAATCTCTTCTTATATTTTTCCCTAGAACAATTTTCAGTTTACATTCTTAAATTGTTAATTTCTAACAATAGAGTTGTTGATATCTCAATAGAAACTATGGAAACCTCATTTCTCTGAAATGTGAGTTCAACTCTAAACAACAAAAAAAACAATTCCTGATATTTTTGATGACCCCCAGATGCAGGAGTTTGACTGGAGTTTTAGTAATAATAATCAATTTAATTTCAACTTTTAAGCATTGAAAAATCGATGAAAAACCCACAAAAAATCCTCAATTACCAAAAAAAAAAATTAATCTCACAAAAATTTCATTAAAATTTCTTTTCACATTTTCCTTATAACAGGTTCCAATCTCAAAATATTTATTTTTCAATTCAGAATACCAGAACTGCGGATTTCTCAATAGAAACAACGGAAACCCCATTTCCCCGAAATGTGAGTTCAACTCTAACAACAACAAAAAACAATTCCTGGCATTTTTCTGTAATTTTTCGTCTCGTTCAGCTACTTGTCAAAAAAGAATCCATGAAAAACCCCAAAAAACCTCAATTATATCAAAAAAAAAATCCCGGAAAAAATAGACAAAATAAAATTTTTAAGTTTAGTGAATGTTAGCATGTTCTGGAGGTGTGAGCTACTTTTTCCTGCTCTATTTTTTCCGCCTACCAAAAACCAACAATTCCGAATATTTTCCTGCACCTTTACCCCGTGAAATCCCCAATAAACCTTTTCATCTTGCGAGTTAATTCCCCTGTACTGGGCGTTTCGTCCACTTTTACGAAATTTACATATCAATCATAATTGTTTAGGGCTCAAATCTGTATTCCCTTAAATGTTGATATTTATCAGAATTTTTGATCATTCCTCCGAAGATTGTTCTGTTCGATAAACGGAATAAATATTTCCCCTGGATTTCCAGAACAAAAAGGTCTAGGATGAACAGGCCAATTGCTGGACGGTTAAAGGAAATTCGAGTTTCGCGGTAGGATCTAAAATAAAAGAATCACCTAACTGAGGATATGATGGATTTCATACCACCAAGAATGTGTTAAATAGCAGAAAAAAATTATTTGAAGTGAAAATAACAAAACGAAAAATAATTAAATTAAGAAATAGTTGAATATAGCTTAAACCCCTAATTTCCGGACGACTGGGCCATATTCTTTTCCATTTATTAACTGTCATCAATAGAAAAATCAATAGAAAAAAAAATTGATCACAGGATTATACACGAGTAATATTATTGAAAGGTGAAATAATCAGTGCAGTTTTCATTTTATTTATAGTACCTTTTAACGATAGGATATTCAATGCAAGTTGAAATCGTCAAGAAACTAATCCCCGTCCAGAAATTGACCTGTTTACCCTATTATCTAAAAAAAATTTCAAACCCCACGAAAACTGTAAAATCCTGATTCACGGGACTCACCCCCTGCAACCAAGCCACGTAATCGTAATTCAACGCCGAATCGCCTCGTGTGTCTCGCAATTCAACACCTCATCAGCGTCTCCGATACACATACCAGAGGCCTATCGTCGACGATGACTTCCACGAAAAAAAATGTTTACGTACGCCGCGAGTCCCCGAGAACAAAGGAATTTCGTCCTTCGAGTCGACCCTTTGTCTCACGAGTCCCCAAAAAAGTCCGCAAAAATCCGTTAAATCCCAGATTACTCACCCAAATTGATAATTTCCTCAACGCCGATGGAGAGACGGTGAATTTTCCCTCGAAATTGCGGGGAAAAAAACACAAAAAAAATTGGGAAAATGATCCTGAGAGGTTTTGAAACGCACGTCTTCGGCAGCTCCGGGAAATGAACTGAGACGCCGGCTGCCGGCACACTGTGACGTCATGCGCGGCAACGGGTCCGCGGGACGCGCGAGTGCGCAGGAGCGGGGGGAGCGCGGGAAAAATATAATTTAGTAGCGAAGCGGTAAAAAATTCAAGTCGTTTTTTACTATCGTGCAGTTTTCAATTAATATCTCGAGATCTAGGGGGGATAGGAAAATTTTTGTCATGACCTTTTTTGTAGCCCTCGATCGGCTCTACAAAAAAGGTCATTATAAAAATTTCGCTATCTCCCTTAGATTCGGAGATATTCCTCGAAAACGCAGCTAGCGAAGTCGATACGAATTTTTACTCGAAATTATCTCGATGAATCTAAAATAAACAACATGAAATCATCAAAATTTTTCCTTTAAAAAAAAACAATAGGTCCATCTGCACAATATATAATAATAAGAGAAATGTAATAATCTCCTGAATTATGAAAAAAAAAATCATAAACAAAGGACAAAAAAATCATTTTTCTCGTCAATAAAACTTTATTCATCATCAATTAATCAATCATTACTCAATATATAATTAACCTATCGACTTATTTACACGACTTACCCTAAATTATCTCTCGAAAATCATGAAAAATATATTTGATATAATAAATCCTGTAATAAACTCTATTAAAAACGAATAAACAACAAATTATGGACATTTACTCCACCACTGATTTATCGTCATTCATCACTTTCAATAACCGATTAAAAATTGTTCAAAAATATTTTCCTGATCATTCACTACGTGTCCGTGGCAAGATCGTCTCAATAACATTTTTTTTCGTTAATTTCCATTTTTCTTTCATTAAATTCGTCGACTAAAAGTTGAAATTAAATTTCGTTATGATCAAAACTACAGGAAAATCATCTAAAGATTCATTCATGGCACGTGGCACTGGCAGCCTCGGAGGAAGCACGAATTTTCGATTAAATTAATTAAGCTTCGACAATAATTACCATTTTGTTATTTAAAATTTTCCTAATTCTTTTCAATTTTAATTTATCATCACGAATTTCTATTAATTTAGTGTCTTATGCACAGGCATTCGTCCCCATCGGCCTAACAATCACTATCACAGGCCTTTCTAATTAAAAAAGACAAATAACGTATTTTTTTCAGTTAAAATCATTAGCTGAGTCGTGAGAGAGAATTTCCAAAATGGAATCAAGAATTTTTACGGATATTTTGGAAACTATAGGGTTTAGAGAAAAATGCCTGAGGACTTTTTTTTAGAGCGTGAAATTTCTCACAAAAAATATACAAGACATTTTTTCGTACCCTCGATAATTACCGAGGTAATTGCGTAATTACATCAACGAAGAAATTTCAGTTTCAAAAAAATCCACAACCTCTCTGTTAATTTCGCAAATATCTCGACAATTAATTACCCCACGAGCCAATGTCATAAAATACTTTGTGAAGAGCATGAAATTCTCCACAAAAAATGTCTATAGAAAAATCCCCCCAGAAATCATCTCCTTTCACCACTGAGCTAAATCTCCAATTACACAATTCGTCACGCATTTTAATGAGTTTCTTCATTTGGTAACCACAGAATCTACAATTGACTCGTCACTCATTCATCAATCACCTCATCCTCACATCCAAAACCCTTCGATTTCCTTGATTTTTCGATTTTTTCTTCCCAAAAAAAACGATCGAATTTCAATATTTTCACCTAAAAATTTGAATTTATCATTCGAAGGATGCGATTTAATTGGGATTGACCGATAAATTATTAGTTAATAAATTTCGATGCGATCGTCATTCAATTATTGCCAATCGATTAAAATTTTTTTTCTGACCAAATAGGGCAGAAAAAAAATTCAATCGATCAATGCTAAATTATTAGAAATCAGCGTCCCATCCTGAGATGTCGTCTGGCGGTGGAGGTTCAGCATCAGGTGGATATTCGTCGAAATTGGCTGTGTCTGTGGGATGTTGAACCCTCGGCATTATTGGAGGCTCCAGAGTTCTCGCCCTCAGGCCCTCCCAGTTGAATCCATCAAACCACCTGCAAAAGATGAAATGCCATGAATTATATTGAAACACTTCAATTCATTTATTACATTTATCCTATTTGTCCTATTTTACTACAGATGAAAGAAACGTGAAGTTGTTTTATATTGAAATATCTCGAAACTGCCCGACCGCTAATCCGCAATTTTGATTGGTCAATGAGTCAAGTGCAGTAGTCGCTGAAAAAAATCCCCGGTATTTTCAAATTCTTCAAATGGCAAAAAATTTTCTGCGTCATATTTTTCATTTTTTCATGTGTGAAGTTTATCTTTATATCAAAACAATATCTAAATTGCCTAATTGTTGATCATGAGAAAATAAACATAGTATTTCTAAATTTTTTAACGCACAAATTATTTTTCACTTCCCAAATTTTAATTTTTTTATATTTATCATACGCAAAAATGATCAATTCTTGCTTCTCAGATTTTCATACATTTAAATCCTAAACTCTGAAAAATTCATGAAAATTCTTCGGTTTCCCAAATAATTCGAGAAAAATCTTGAAGAGCTACGGTTATCTGGAAAACTGTGGAATTTTCCGAAGAATTCAAGAATTTTTTTTCAGTTTTGTGGGAAGTCAATTCATAACCCTCCCCTCATTTTTCAACAATTCCAGATTTTAACCAGATTATTTTAAAAAGTAAAAAAAAAGAAGTAATCGAAGATTAAAAATGATTCACTGGTGTTTCACTCTTTATTCTCTTCATTCTCTTAATTCTCTTCAAGTCATTATAGATTATTATCTCTTTAAGTCATTATAAATTAATATACATTAATATTTCTAAAACATCTATGAGTATATGAAGTTTAATAAATGCGATTTCTTCATTGTCACAACAAAAAGATGAGCGCGCGCAAAAGCGCGCGCACAGATCTAGTTATGAAAAAAGACTCACTTGTGCTTCTGAATTTCGCTGATCCCACCCTTCTGATACCCCAGCCTCTCGGCGGGATTGTCCCTGCAGAGTTTCTTGATCAACGCCGTGGCATTTCTCGTGATGGTCCTGGGGAACTCGATGGCATCGATCCCCTTTAGAATGATGTTATAAGTCTTCATGGGATCGGCCCCAGTAAACGGTGGCGTTCCCGTCAACAACTCGAACATCAGAACACCAAGGGACCAATAATCCGCACTTATGTCGTGTCCTCTGTTCAATATCACCTCTGGAGCTACGTATTCCGGGGTTCCACAGAATGTCCACGTCTTCCTGCCATTATCCAGACGCTTGGCAAATCCAAAGTCCACTAATTTGACATATCTACAAAGAAAGAACATTGAGAAACAAGAATCCACAGAATTAAAAAAAAAACAAATGGAAAGAACGAAAATAATTTATCGAACTCAATGTTGGCCCATCGTTGGCCGCCGACATTACCCCAACATCGGTCACCAACAGCAGCCAAACGTTTGCAGCCAATATTACCTTAAGGTTGGCAGCCAACATTGCGCCAACATTGGTTGCCAACATTACTCCAACGTTGTCAGTCAACATTACCGCAATGTCGGTCGTCAATATTACCCCAATGTCGGTCGCCAATATTACTCCAACGTTGATAACCAACATTGACCTAACGTCGGTTGCCAACAGTACGCCAATGTTTCCAGCCTATACGACCTCAGTGTTGGCAGCCAACATTGCCCCAACGTTGGTCGCCAACATTATGCCAATGTCGGTCGTCAACTATCCCCCAACGTTTGCAGCAAATATTACCTTAATGTTGGAAGCCAACATTGCGCCAACATTGGGCGCCAACATTACTCCAACGTTGTCAGTCAATATTACCTTAATGTCGGCAACCAACATTGCGCCAACGTTGGTTGCCAACATTACCCCAATCTTGGGCGTGAATATTACCCCAATGTTGGTAACCAACATTGTCCTAACGTTGGTAATCAACATTGTCCCAATGTCGGTTGCCAACAGAGCCCAAAGTTTGCATCCAACATTACCTTAACATTGGTAGTCAACATTATCTCAACCTTGGCAGCCAATATTGCCCCAGCGTTGATAGCCAACATCATCCCAACGTTAATCACTACTGTTACCCCAACGTTGGCAGCCAACATTGCCCCGATATTGAAATTTTCTTTACCTTCCCCTCAATATTGGTTTCAAAATGAATTTTCTCAACAACAGATAACGCAATCAATCAAGTAGTTCCGCTTACCCTTGGCTATCTAGTAATAAATTCTCAGGCTTGAGATCCCTGTAGATGATGTTCCTCGAGTGCAGATAATCGAATGCCTCAACTACACAAGCCGTATAGAACCTCGTTGTGGAGTCGTCAAAGTGCCCCTTGTCCCTCAGCACTGTCCACAATTCACCTCCCAGGCATGCCTCCATCAGCATATACAAGTACTTTCTATCCTTGAATGTCTTGAAGAGTTTCACCACGAAGTCACAGTCAGCCTCACCCATTATTCTCTTCTCTGACATTATGTGCTGCTGCTGACGTGTCTCAACTATTTGCGCTTTCTTCATCTGCTTCAGGGCAAATGATCGACTGTTGTCGCCTGCTATCTGAACGAGTTCAACGCGACCGAAACCACCGACTCCTAGCGTTGCCAGGGGACGCAGGTCCTGCAGCCGGAGCTCTCGGAATTCTTCGTTGAGTCTATGAAAATTTGGAGAATTAGAATTTTTGGAAAAGTAAAATTTTATCATTTTGGAAATTTTTATCATTTTTCAGGTTTTTAAAAACTCCAATTGGTTTAGTTATTGAAAGAAATTATATAAATAGTTGAAATTCCTCATTTAAAAAAAAATTGCAATTCCAAAAAAAGAAGTTCAACTAAAGTTCTAAGAAATTTCAATTTTCAAAATTTGGGGAATTGAGAATATTTGAAAAATAACAATGTTCAGTGTTGAAAAATAAAAATTTATTCAAGTTTTAAAAAATTTTGATTCTGTTAATTCGAAAAAATGGAAAATTTTCAATTTTGAAAAATTGAAATTTTTTAAACTTGGAAAAATGTGAATTTTTGTAATTTAAAAAAATTTTAATGTCCAAAATTTCAGTCTTTCTTTCTCAATCGTAAGAAAAAATTTCAAAATTCCTAAAAATCAAAATCTGCAGAAACTGAAACATTTGAATTTTTGAAACAATTAGAAATTCTAATTTTAAAAATGAATCGAAAACTCTCTCCCTCCTCGAGAAAAATCAAACGATTCCCTTCCCTCTCCCCTCAATTTTCTATTGGAAAGTGCACATCATGCGCGAGTAATTAACCCGGTAGCTTCACGTCTATAAATCACTCAAGCCTCCACCATAACGCTGTTTTATTCGAGTAGGCCAGTGGTTTCCATAGAAACTTTACTAATAAAATCTCCGGAATTCTCCGGCTGATTTATGTCACTTGAGCAATAAAAAAAAATTAATGCAATTCATCACGAGTATTTCCTAGAAGCGTCCCCAAGAATTCAAAAAAATCCACGAAAATCTTAAATAAAAAATAGTACAACCGCAATTTTCATCTCGAAATATTTCCAAAATAAATTTCCTTAAATTCAAGTACCAAAATTACTGAAAAGCACTGACGAAATACAAATGAAAAAAAATCATTCGTTGGAATTTAAAAACTAAATCGTGAAATAATCTGACATTTCCAAGGAGTCGTCTACTAAATCGTGACTTACTTTGATCATCATAACATTACGATCCAATCCTCACTCTTAAGCATGAAACAATAGATTATGTTGATCAATATCAAGGATTTAAAGATCATACGAAATAGCTGGGACTCACCTTCTGCGCTCGACTAGCTCGTCCTTGTACCTCGTTCTGATTTCATCTAGGGAGGATATCAGTTGGTTGAAGGTCTCTCTGTCGATTACGAGGCAATTGACACCGTCTGGATCGTCAGCAACAATATTGGCAGTCCTCAGATCGTCCCTGGGAATCAAACAAATCGATCAATTCAACACGATTTCCATTGAAAAAATTTTTCAAGTTGAAGAGTATCAACTCTTTTCTTGTCTTGACAGTAATGATTTTTTTGCAATAAATTCCTGCCACTCAACGGGCATTTGTTTAACAAACAACGCTTCACCATAAACACTGATTCTATTCATCTTTTTTAAATGTATTTTTGGCGTCCGAATAGAAGCTTTGTAATCGTTTAAATTTAAGTGTTGGATTTTTTGTGTTATATCGATCCAGTATGATCTAAAATTTCGAAAATGCAATTTTTTCTAAAATTTAGGTACTGTTGAGTGCTATCGATCACCATTAATTAAAATTTAATGCATCGATTAGTTTTTTAAATTTTGGAATTTTTTCAAAAATCACTTGTTCCACGATAACTAAAGAAATTTTCTGAATTGATTGAATGATGGCTTAAAAAATTTGTTTGGATGTCCTTTTGATCGCGTTTTAAGATGAAGGCGATGGCAATAATCGTTATTTTGATTTATTTGAAAATTTGCAAAAATGTTGTATTTTTTGAAAATCACAATTCCGGGGATATCTTTGAATATCATGCTTCAAATGAATTCAATCATAGCTTAAAATGTTTGTTTTAATGCCATTAAGTCGAAGTTAAAAGATGATTACGATAGCTATATTCGTTGATTTGATTTTTATGATTATTGAAAATTTCGAATTTTTCATGAATTTCCCTGAAAGTGAGCTTTCTGATGGTTTCTTCAAATGTGATGTTTCAAATTCATTCAAGTATGTGTAAATAAAATTTTTCTATTAACATTTTATCGAAGGGCTGAGGGGAGAGACAGAACCGTAAAAAAGACAATCGGTTGTATAGAAGAAAGGGATAATAAGAATAATGATGATGATAACATTCAACTGAGTTGAAAATCTGACAAAATTAGTTGAAAAGAAATCTTATTCAATTTAATAAAATTAAATAAACGATGAATTATATATGACAGAAGGAAGTAATGTGCAAAATAACCATTCGGATGTATATTGCTAATTTATTAGCAAAAATAACTACACTATATGGAATACAAGAGCAATTTCCCACTTGTTTTCTGTAATATACGAAAATTCCGATGATTCAACGTTGTGTGATTGATTTTTTGAATGATCTAATTATCCTGTGATCAGTGGTGGTGTAATCGTTTAAATACATATCCTCCATCTCTTTTTTCAAATCTGTCCATCAAATAATGAAGTATTATTTAATATTCTCTCTTTCCCTCGCATTCCTGTCCCAAAGTAATAAAATAAATGATCACTCACCCTTGAAGTGCCTTTTCCCCGAAGAAATCACCTTTGTTCAACGTTCTGATGTACTTCTCCTCAGTATTATCCGGCTGTTTCATTGTAACACGCACCTGACCTCGGCTAATTATGAAGAAAGTGTCTCCTCTAGCGCCTTGACGAATTATATAATCACCATTGTTGTAGAATGTCTGCAATTATTATAAACTCAATTATAATCATCACAAGGTCAAATCGACAAAAATAGAGTGGAAGTCGAGATAAAAAATAGAGTGGAATGACAGGGATTTTTTTTTTCTTTGTTAATTACCTCTTCTAGCACGTCTGAGATCTTGATCAATGTTTCTTCGGGCAGATTTTTGAATATTGGAACGCTGCAAATAAATCATTAATTGAAATTATTACATAATAATAATCCGATAAAATTTTTAGTCTCCAATTCTCAATTTCTGTCATTTATTCCATTCATTCTATCAAAAGACAAGGATAGCAATCGAATTTATGAGTATTCTTCCATTATTCAGAAAAAATCTATCGATTTTAAAACTTTCCGGAGACTGAAAAATTATTATAATTCTTTTATTTCTTCCCGCCTACGTTTTTTAATATTTTTTTCAGGTCTTTTCGTTAAAATTAGATCATAAAATTTTAAAATACTCATATCCCACTCATATTCGAAGAAAAAACAGCGATTCCAAGTTTCCACCGACACGAATGAAGAAAAACACATTTTCTCAATTTTCTGGTCGATCATCCCTTTTTAAAAATTTTTAGCCTCCAATTTGCAATTTTTGAAATTCATTGCCATTCAGATAATTCTATTCATTCTATCAAAAGACGAGGATAGAAATCGACTTTATGGGTATTCTTTCATTATTCGCAAAAAAAAAGATTTTAACTTTTTGGAGATATCGAAAATTTAATTTTTTTTATTCTTCCCGCCCACTTTTTTGCCTTTTTTAAAATTCTTGCTCGCTGAAATATTGATATCCCTCTACTACATGTCAAAAAAAAAGTGATTGGAAGTTCTCGCCGACAGAAAAGAAGAAAAAAAACTTTTTCTAGCCGATTAATCCTTTCTGATTCTTTTTTCATTTTCTTTTCATTATAATAATTGAAATCCGACCATAGGAATGAAACGTACCGATATCCTTATACCATATGAGGGGAAAAATAGATTTAAAAATTTTTCAGGAATACATGGAGAGATTTTTCTATTACCCGAATGAGATTTCGAATGATTTTTGTTTTGCGTGTTTCAGAATTCTTTGCATTTTCTAGTCCTTTTTAAAAAATTTTAGTCTCCAATTTGTAATTTTTGCAATTCATTGCCATTTAGATAATTCTATTCATTCTATCAAAAGACTAGGATAGAAATCGACTTCATGGATATTCTTTCATTATTCGCAAAAAAACGATTTTAACTTTCCGGAGATATCGAAAAAATGTTTTTTTTAATTCTTCCCGCCCACTTTTTTGCCTTTTTTAAAATTCTTGCTCGCTGAAATATTGATATCCCTCTACTACTTGACAAAAAAAGTGATTGGAAGTTCTCGTCGACATAAAAGAAGAAAAAAAATTTTTTCAAGCTGATTATCCCTGATTCTTTTTTCATTTCCTTTTCATAATAATAATTGAAATCCGACCATAGGAATGAAACGTACCGATATCCTTATGGCATATGAGGGAAAAAATAGATTTTAAAAATTTTCAGGAATACAAATTTTCAGGAGAGATTGTTCTACCACCCGAATAAGATTTCGAATGACTTTTGTTTTGTGTGTTTGTTTTGATCACAAAAAAAACACTTTTGATTGACCTTTAACATAATTCCTCTTCAATTCAATGTTGTAATTTGTGAAATGAGGGAAAAAATATATATAATAAGAGTAAGAATGGATAAAATTAAATTAATCTAACTGTAAAGAGGGAAATGGAAAGAAAATAAAATAAAATAGCATAAACTAATTAAGTAGGAAGAACTTGACAAACAATCCCAGGAATATAATAAAATCAAATTGTAACTGAAGACAATTTAGTGAAAATCACTGTCAAGATGAGGAATTAATAATGAAAATTGTCGAGACTCGTGAAATACCTTTTAAGGAAATCGGTGTATTCAGCCTGCTTGGATAGGCCAGTTCTCATCATAATCGTCTGGAAACTCGATCTGTCGATTCCCCATAATCGACAATCAGTGGCTGCTGTAATTGTCGCTGTTCTCTTGCAATTATAGAGTATTGCCAATTCACCCAGGACCTTGCCGGGTGCCAGGGTACTCAGGTATTTTCCATCTCTCGAGACCTCCACTTTTCCCTCTGAAATATCAAGAGACAAAATTGATCATCGATCGATAATTTTTTTCATTCAACACTTCAACAATATTTTCAATCATCTATTTTAATTATATAAAATGAATAATTCATTCCATTCAAATGTAAATAGATAAATGACTATGTTTTTTGCATAAAGTCCTTATTTGAATAAAAAAATATTTGTTTATATAAAAAATATTCATTCGTTCATTAATAACAAACGGCAATACGAAAAAAATTCGAGCTAATCAATTTCTGGAATTTTCCTATTCATCTTAAAATTACTATCAATATTTTATTTAAATTATATGAAGTTAATAATTCACTCATTTCAAGTAAATTCTCCATTAAAATCTAATAAACGATTCATTCGATACAAATTGACGATTGTTAGTTTTCATTGTTCCATAAAAATAGATAAAAGATTCTATTTCTAACTAATAAAGTCTTTCCATAAATCAAGAAAACATCTGTATAAAAAATATTCATTCGACATGAATAAAAAAAAGGAGATAAAAATACATTTTATTCCCTTGAAATGAATTATTTCTCTGGGTGCATTGTCCTCTCCCTCGGAATGTGAATTAATTCAGAGAAATATTTCTCCATCTCACAATTACCCACTTTTTTCCCATTACCCAGTTCAAATATCTTTGTTTCCGTAACCGGATGTTTCATAACAACTAACGAGACGTCTGAGACACTACGAAATGACGTACGTGGGCCCACGAGACCGTCTCCGGTCGTTACAACCCGTTTGTTATTAATTTCGTTTATCAAACTTCATGCCCACATCCGCGTCGCTTACTCTTCGTTAATTTACATTTTCAATTGAAAACAGGGAAATTTGTTCTATAAGGCGTACGATTACTTTCACTTCTCTGTGGATACATCCGTGAGGAGTTTTCCATATCGATGAATACACCCATTGTCGAGGGAAAAAAATTCTTTTGGAGCTGTTACCGCATTTTATGGGGGGAATTTCATTCTTATTATGAAGAATTATTAATATTATGTCATAAGGGAAATTTCAGGTTGAAAAGTCAATCGGATGATCGATTTTACTCGATTATGTTCGAAGATATCAACAATTTTCTGTGAAAAAAAAAACTTAATCGTAGGGAATAATGCAACGATTTTTTCAATCATTCATTCGGAAAGGAAAACGATGATCGTTTGTAAAAAAAAAAAAAAAGATTTCTAAGGCCCGGGTGTACTATCTTTCGAATGTTATTTGGATTTTTTTATCTTTCGTAATCCAAAATTGTCAATTGAGTGGTGCATCATGAGTAGAAATTCCCAAAAATTATGATAGAATGATAAAAAAAAAAGAAAAAATTCAATTTTTTCAAAGAGCGTTTTTAATTAAGATTCAGAATGAGTTGAAAAAAGTGGAAATTACAAATATCTGGTTCGCTGTGGCAAATTATCTATTAGCTGTCATTTTTCATGGTGGACAACAAAACACTAACTCCTCATGGGAAATGACAGCTAGGTATCTCAATTTTTAAAACAGTGGTATGTAGTCATCTGCCATTTTTATGTAATAAAAGTGTGATTAAAAAATTCTCCAAAATATTACAACTTTTTTCAAAGATCCTTTTCCGTAATAAATGTCTCTGTGCAGTGTGGGAAAAGATTTACGAAATCAGTCTTCCCCCTGCATGATATTGGGTGACAGGCCGCCATTTGTCACCGTAAATCAGATACATTTTTCACCTTCTTATTATTCAACTTATTCTGAATATAAATAAAAAATGCTCTTTGAAAAAATTAAGAATTTCTTCTACTTTTTTTTGATTATTCATTCATAATTTTTCAAAACTTCTGCATGATGCAGGACTTAATTGACAATCTCAGATGACGAAATATGAAAAAAAACATCGAGATAACGTTCGAAAGATAGTACACCCGGGCCTTGAAATAATTTATTTTTCAAGGAAAATAGTTCAACAGGAAAAAGGTCGTTTTTGAAGAAAAATAAATTGTAAATCCTTGGGACACAATGGGTCGTCATATTGAGTTTTCTGCCTCAACTTTCCCGGTCTTTCACATGGTGCAACCCGTCTTACCCCACCTTCAAATTAATCAATTATCAATTCTGACCGGAACAGTTGCAAAATTGAGAATAATTGTGAAATACTTGTTATTACTCATTGGTATTTTATGGTCAATTGGTTGTAATGGAGGCATGAACTCTATAAAAAGGAATAGTCTGCCGGAGGTCGTTGCCATCCCACAACTATCAATTAGTCTAGATTCAGGGTGTAGTCGGTCATTACGTCTGTCCCCACCTATTATCATTCGTCTCCGGCGTTGGCTGTCGTGTTTTTTTCTCATCGTGACCTTGGGCGGTTTGACATGTTGTAGAGAAGTGTTGAGGCGTTGATTGGAGGTCAAAAGGTCAGTGGAGCAGGGAAAATGACTTCCGCCTTTGAAATAATTAAGGACTCGCTCTTTCTGATAACGAGGGTCTCATTCTTTCGGAGAAAATCTGTGAAGGAATGGGACAAAATGGGTTGCGCGGTTGAAGAGGCAGGAAAATTTCCCATTTTTCCCCGGGGTTCACAAAATATTAAATTTTACAAATCTTCGATGAAAATCGAAAATGATCGATATCTCCAGAGATAACGGGGCAAAACGGGTCATCATACAGTGGCGGCGGTTTCGAAATTCTCATTATTATAGAGATTTTTCTATTACCCGAATGACATTTCGAATGACTTTTGTTTTATGTTCGTTTTAATCATTAAAAAAAACATGTTTGATTGATCGTCAGCATAATTCCTCTTCATTGAATGATGTGACTTGTGAATTAAGGAAAAAAATATATAATAAGAATAGGAACGGATAAAATTAAATTAATCTAATTGTGAAGACGAAAATAGAAAGAAAATAAAATAAAATAGAATAAGTTAATCTAGTTCACTAGTTATTTAAAAAATGGGATAAAGTGGGTTATTGAATTTTGAATAATTATTCAAGTAGATCACTCGCATTTATTCCAAGGAAACCGAATCCTTCGTATAAATAATGCAGTGATGATGCACGTGAGTCCAAGGTACATGATTAGAGTTCCAGTGAACGCCTACATAGCGATTCAGAGACCCAGAAATTAAGACTCAGCTTGTGGAATAAAGTCTCCTGAAAAGTGTGAAAATAAACTCGAAGCATTTTTCAATGATCTCATCAGAATCGAGTTTCATCATTTCTGCGGCACACGACAGCTTTTCTTTCCACTTTTCTCGCAGTCCAGTCTCGTTCCAGTTTAGTGCCAATGGAGTTGGCAATTGGATCCGGGAACGGATGTTACCGTTACTAGAAACAGTTCAATATTTATCGCAAAATAGTCTTTCCAATAAATTGCGAAAAATCAATTATCGAGGTGGAGAAATAAAATTGAATTCGCTGGTTAGGCAGGAATATTTTCCTCTGAAGAACCCAATAGGGCCCGTTTTGCCCCACTACCATATAAATTCATATTCATTCATGTCAATTTTTTTCAATTTTTTAAACAATTTGTTACGTCCAGATTTTGCCAAGATTCGATAAAATAAATCTTAATAAAATGATAACAATTTAAAGAATTTTTCCTATTTTAAGGCTACCTTTCGGAAATAGCTTGGGATTGAAGTCGGGCGAATTGTTCAAATAATAAAAGAAAAGATTTTAACAATGAACAAAACCAGAATTTATTCAAATTATTAAATTATAGAATTAAATTAATTCTATAAAATCAAATTTCCTGAAGTAAATGAGTTTACCTAACTATGCTATTTCCCGATTTCTTTCATTTTTTTTTTAGTTCAAGTGAAAATTTTAAAATTGAAATCTTATTTTAAAAATTGAAATAAAAAAAAAATTCAATTGAAATTTAAATTTAATTAAAAATTTTAAGATTAAAATCCAATTCTTTTTTTTCCAATGTAGAATTTTCCAAGCAAAATTCTCGCAGTATTTCATTGTATTTTATGTTTAATAATTCTTAAAAATATAAAAATTCCTAAAATATCAATTTTTAAATTCAAATAAATCAATATTTTTCAACTCATCTATGTTTGTTGATCCAATAATTTCTCAATTATTATTCATTCTCTTTTTTATTTTCAATCACAATTCGTGATACATCTCTTGTGGTAAAAAATTGAAATTTTGGAAATGATGACAAAATCGATGGAAAATCGGGTTGAAAACTGGGTTTTGGGTACCATCAGGCTGAATATCATCCCCACCAACCGGTCTCGATGACCGGGAGACCCGAACAAAGGACTGATCGCCCCTAGACCCCAAAATCGCCCGGAATATCCGGTGAAAGAAGGAATATTACATTATATTATCTTTTGATGGGTGGATAAAAAATTGTGGAGCCGCTTGGTTGCCCTCCTGTCCCACAGCATGACGACATAACAGGACAAAGAGTTCATGCCTGGCATACGATACCACATGAATGCAGTAATGTAACATAATCTCAAAGGCAAATTAAGTGCTTTGGAAATTTCATAGAAAATTCTCTGGATTTCTTTTGTATAAAAATTGTGATTTCTCTGTCTTCAAGTTGAATTTTGCCATTTGTTACGTTGAGATTATTATTAAAAAATTCTTGATGATGATTGCAGTATTGCGAGCTGCAGTAAAAGATATTAACGATTTTTAATGATTTTTTGATTAGTTGAAAATTTAAAAAAAAATCAGATGTGGAAGTTTTTCCTTTTTCTCATGTCAAAAAATTAAAAGAATGTAAAGTACGTAATGAACGGAGAAAAAAAATTAATAACACCCGGAAAAACTTCCCCGTCCTAAAAGCACCACAGAATTACCATATCCACAAAGTATGGCCAATCATTGCGCCACAATGTGGTGAATAACTCGAAGAAACGTGTGAAAGCAGCCTAAACATAATCTCAAAAGATTTTTGCCGGGACAAAATCTTTTTTTTTCAATAAAGATAAAAATAAATCTTTACTTAAATAAAGACGGAAATATCGAAAAAATCGCTCTTAAAGCGAAAAATTCGCTCATTCATATCTCGAAAACAAATGGGGTAAAACGGGTCATCGTGTTAATTTTTCCAGCAAAAATTTTCCTGGCTTTCTGAGGAAATCACGAGGTTCTGGAGTAAAATATAAAAATACATAGAAATAAGCGAGGGTTTTTCACGTCTGGTTTTCCAGTGGGACAAAATTAGAAATGTGATATTGAAGGGAGGACCCTTGAAACAGGGGGTGAACAAAATTCTTGGAATGTTCAAGTGCCTGAAGAATCCGGAAAGAATCATTTCAATAAAGTTTTCTTTCCAATCAATTTTTGATCGACTTTTTCAATGATTTATCGATCAAAAAATTATTTCAACAATTCGTCATTTTGATGAAATTTACGAAACGCCATTAAAATAAAATTGAATTTGATTAATCGGCGAATGATAATTCAATTGATTGGTTGCATTGATCGATTACTTGAGGGACGTGAAAAAATGAAGATTCCAAGACGAATTCTCCACAACATAAAATGCAAATCTCTCAATCATCACGTCCCAGTGATTATTGATACCGAAACTACCGATCCCCCAACTTTCTCCATATTCAGACCACAGATTAGATCATCGTAAATGCCATTTCCGAGTCATGCAATCAATGTCGAAAGCGTGGGCTGAATTAATCTATGTTCGTAAAAAATCTTCATTCGTCATCCAAAAATATCATCTGAGAATGGTTCTCAAGGAATCGGCACCTTGATGAATTTTAAAATAAAGACGAAGAATAAAAAATAGCAAGAGAATTTTTGTCTCAATAAAATTTGACCCTTGTGACCCTCGGGGTCACAAACGTTTTTCCGACCTCATCATTATCTCACAAAGGTCACAGGATCATAATCAATCAACAAAAAGATGATTTCAATAGCCATTTCTACGAAAACCAAACCCCTTATCTCCGATCCCAAATTCTTAAATTAGCGCTTGTCATCCGAATAATTTGTAAAAACCTGTCAATACCTTCTCTATTCTGTCGTCTCTTAACAGTCGTCGCCCCGGTGCGTCTTCTCCTGTCATAAGTGTGCACAGGAATAATTAGATCGGGTCTACGAATAATAAATCACCCATTCTGATTCTTAATACTTTGATAATGACTCTGTTCCAAATCCGAGCAATCGCTATCAGTGATAGCTTCCTTACTAGACCTCTGTGACCCACTTTCACGAGGGCTCGATCATAAAATGTTTAAGATGAAATTTTGTTTCAATAAAATTCGACCCTTGTGACCCTCGGGGTCACAAACGTTTTTCCGACCTCATTATTATCTCACAAACGTCACAGGATCATAATCAATCAACAAAATGATAATTTCAATAGCCATTTCTACGAAAACCAAACCCCTCATCTCCGATCCCAACTTCTCAAATTAGCGCTTGTCATTCGAATAATTTGTAAAAACCTGTCAATACCTTCTCTATTCTGTCATCTCTTAACAGTCGTCGCCCCGGTGCGTCTTCTCCTGTCATAAGTGTACACAGGAATAATTAGATCGGGTCTATGAATAATAAATCACCCATTCTGATTCTTAATACTTTGATAATGACTCTGTTCCAAATCCGAGCAATCGCTATCAGTGATAGCTTCCTTACTAGACCTCTGTGACCCACTTTCACGAGGGCTCGATCATAAACATGTTTAAGATGAAATTTCGATTCAATACAATTTGACCCTTGTGACCCTCGGAGTCAGAAACGCTTTTCCGACCTAATCATTATCTCACAAAGGTCACAGGATCATAATCAATCAACAAAATGATAATTTCAATAGCCATTTCTACGAAAACCAAACCCCTTATCTCCGATCCCAAATTCTTAAATTAGCGCTTGTCATCCGAATAATTTGTAAAAACCTGTCAATACCTTCTCTATTCTGTCGTCTCTTAACAGTCGTCGCCCCGGTGCGTCTTCTCCTGGCGTAAGTGTGCACAGGAACAATCAGTCTGGGTCTAGGAATGACAAATCCCCCATTTTGATGCTTAACACTCTGATAATCACTCTGTCCCAAATCCGAGCAATCGCTATCAGTGGTAGCTTCACTACTAGACCTCTGTGACCTATTATCACGAGGGCTCGATGACCCATCGAGAACGTTCTCTAACTGGGTGATGACGTCGGCGTAAGGCCTGCGATAATCATCATCAGGGTCATCCTTGGATCTGTTTAACTTATCATTTCTCGATTCTGACGTCCAATTCATGCTGCATTCTCGCCAGCTGGCTTCATACAGCAGCTCCATGGCCCGTCCTCTGGTGACGTCTGGGTCCAGGATTAGCTCCGGATCCTCCAGAACTGCTCTTCCAGGATAACTTCTCACTTTCATGGTGCCAAGACTATTTTTGTAAAGGTTCACAACGCTTTTAAAGTGATGATTTCGCCAATTTCAAGCGATGATTTTCACAATTTTGATCTCCTCTGTCATCACCATGAAGTCAATTGAAGTTCATTTATGGTGATTGTCCTCTACTTTGTCTTCAAATGACATCATCAGAACACTACCTTGTCTTCTACATAAAGTCATTTCCTTTGGAAGAATTATCACAGAATTTTGGTTTTAGATCACACGTGAAGTCGAAGATGAAGTCTATATGATATAATGTTGGACAGGCGGATACTATCAAACTTCATCACTTTTTGAAGTTTTCGACATTGATGTCATGATATTAGAAGTATAAAACATCAAGTGAAGGGTCTGTAACGCATTCCCATGGTTGCAACTTTCTCTCAATTCTCAGTATAATTAAATTCAACCAGTAATTAGTGATTGTATTGCCATCAAGTTAATGTATCATCACTTCAGCATGAATTTATAGACTTATCCCCACAAGCACGTGATAACATCTGATAGCTCTATTGTTGAATATGTAAAACAATTCTCAGTCTCCAGCCACGGGAGTATCCCCCACTCTGTTTCCTCTCGTGCGTCCAGGATTTATAGGATTATCTTGTCTCTCTGATTTGACTTCTTTTGCAACTTCATCAGTAGATGATTTTCATAATCAGTGATGACCGAGTTATTTTTTCCACTACTTCATCAATTTTTTCATTCAACAGAATTAAATTTACAGATTAAAATTCATCAAAACTAGATCAATTGATAAAGTTTTCTGGTTTTCATTGAAAACTTCACAAATGAACTTCAACTTCAGATCAGTATCAATTTCACGTTGAAACTTCTTTACGATTACTCCACGCTTACTTCAACTTCAACATCGCATGAATTGAGTTACAACTCGCGTACTTCACCAAAATGTCACGAATGAAGACGAACGTATTGAGACCTTATTGATCCTACTTCGCCAATACTTCAACTTCATGATAAATTCATTACAACTTCAGTTTGACATTAATTGAATAGTTACTTCTGTACTTCGCAAGAAAATTGTGAACGAAGACTCGAACGACTTGACACCTTATTTACCCCACTTCAGCTATACTTCAACTTCACTTCAACTTCATTTCAACATTAGTTTAACATTAATTGAATGATTACCCCTGTGCTTCACAAGGAAGTTCTGAATGAAGACTCGAACGGACTGAGACCTTACGCCCCCAACTTCATCAATACTTCAACTTCATTCGACTCTTCGCTCTTCATACGTCACCAAAACTTCAACCGAACATTGAAATTTGTCTGCAAAATCCATTGACAACTCATTCCTTCAACTCTCTCCTTCAACACTTCACAACTTCAACTTCACTTTACATCCAGCAAATCTGTCAAATTTTGCAAGTCCCTGACCAATAACTTCCTGCTGGTGACTCACGGCTAAACCCGTCCAGGACATGTATCCAGGAGTGGAAAAGTTGACCCGGTGAATGGCATGTACCCATTGGGACCGTACAACACAAATGAGTGTATATTGAAGTGTAAAAAGGAAGAAATAGAAAAAAGAAGAGGGGGGAAGGAGAAGATGATGAAAAAGTGCACTGGGGGCCCCCGAACACTGTCAGCTCTGGGTGGAAACTACAGAACCGTTCGTACTACACCAGGTCCCAAGTACCTCTCCCCCTCTCCCGTCCCTCTTTCTCGCGCTCTCCCCCTGCCCACCCCCCTCTACTACTTAGGTACCCACCCCTGTACTGCTGATTCTCTTTGTCTCGCTTACTCCAACACTTGGTTCTACTGACAGTCACGCAAATCCCCACTGTGAATTTTCTGTTTGGCTTTGAGAGAACGTGAGAGAAAGGAACAGTGGTGCTCAATAATGGATTGTTGAAAAATTTGAAATTCTGGTGATTCCCACGCCAGGACACGTGACCTTAGTCAACCTTGATTTATTGATGATGATGGTAACTCCCGCTAGTTATGATTGTTTGGATCATTGCGCAGGGGTCTTGTTAATTTTTTAAAAATCGAGAGGGAGGGGGAAGTGCGTGAAAGAGGAAGTACATAACAATTTTTTTGGTGCCATTTTTCTTGAAACCTCGATGAAGAACGATTTTCGAGTGGAAATTTCACTTCACTTCACATCAATTTGCTTTTTCACATTTTTTGAAAATAGAGAGGAGGGGGGAGGGATGAAGTGCGACATGAAAAATTTTTTTGGTGCGATTTTTATCGAAATTTCGATGAAGAACGATTTTCAAGTGGAAATTTCACTTCACTTCACATCATTTTGCTTTTTCACATTTTTTTAAAATAGAGAGGGGGGGGGAGGGGTGAAGTGCGACATGAAAAATTTTTTTGGTGCCATTTTTCTTGAAACCTCGATGAAGAACGATTTTCGAGTGGAAATTGCACTTCACTTCACATCAATTTGCTTTTTCACATTTTTTGAAAATAGAGAGGGGGGGGGGTGAAGTGCGACATGAAAAATTTTTTTGGTGCCATTTTTCTTGAAACCTCGATGAAGAACGATTTTCGAGTGGAAATTGCACTTCACTTCACATCAATTTGCTTTTTCACATTTTTTGAAAATAGAGAGGAGGGGGGAGGGATGAAGTGCGACATGAAAAATTTTTTTGGTGCGATTTTTATCGAAATTTCGATGAAGAACGATTTTCAAGTGGAAATTTCACTTCACTTCACATCATTTCGCTTTTTCACATTTTTTGAAAATAGAGAGGGGGGGGGGTGAAGTGCGACATGAACAATTTTTTTGGTGCGATTTTTATCGAAATTTCGATGAAGAACGATTTTCAAGTGGAAATTTCACTTCACTTCACATCATTTCGCTTTTTCACATTTTTTGAAAATGCGTAGGGGGAAGTGCGATATTAAACATTTTTTTGGTGCGATTTTTATCGAAATTTCGGTGAAAAACGATTTTTGAGTGGAAATTTCAGTTTTCAAAATCTCATAATCAGCGGCAGAATTTTTCGTCCGAAATCTTTCGGGTTTTCCCAAGAAATTGTTATTGCAATTTTCGGAATATTTTATCAAGTAAAAAAAAAAGGAAAAATTCGAATTTATTTTTCATCGGAAAATGGGATTTTCCCGTGTTTTTGGAAATGCAAATTTTTTCGTCAACTTTTGTCTTGGACATTGAAGTTGAGAACGGCTTTGGGGTCTCGACCGGTCCGTTGCATTTTCTACAATGACTGAAGAGTCACCGGAATTTCCTGCCGACCTTCGGAAAAGGAATGGAAAATTGCTGGTCAAGTATTTCACATTTTTTTTGTTGTCTGAATGGAAAAAGATTCCGTCATGAAGGACAGAACTGTATGCCTGAAAGAGGGGTGTCCGGTTGGTAACATAAGTGTACGTTCGTGATATTGATTGAGGGGTACATTAGTTTAATTTATAGAAAATCCTCACCTTCCATAACGTAAACCGTTGAGCCAACATCTCCCTCGGTGATTATGAGGGAACCGGCTGGATAGGTCACGGGATACATGCAGTCAACGATCTCCCGTATTTGTGTGAGTTCCAGATTTTTCATGAAATCATTGTCCAGTATTGCTGCTTTGATGAGTTCTCGTGATCTTAAATAAAAAATAAGAAAAAAAGATAATTAAATCGTGTGAATAATCACAATTGATGATCGCTGACTAACAATAACTTGAGATAACAATAATTATTTATTATCATTATTTATTTCCACAATTCATGGTCGAAAAGTCATACGTGATTTAGAGGGGTGAAATTACGAGAAACTTTTGCTCATTTCGCTCTTGCGTATGCAAAAGCGATGGATAAAGTCATGAACTAATTGGGAGAGAATAACTTCTGTTTATCCTGATTCCGTCTATCCTAGAAAATTAGAGAGCGACATGAGCTGGTGCGCCCCTTGCTCATTTTGCTTTTCTCTATTGGACGGATGTTGTAGCGCACGTAAAAGATCGAATCGATAATAAAAACTTATTTATTCTGATGCCGATTATGCAGGAATGATGGAGAGAAGCGAGCGAAATGAGCGGCTCTCACTCGTGTCGCTCCGAATTATCTGCAAGGGGGTTTGTACGTTTGAGTAAAATAAGTCAGCGGAGTCCCAACTCATTGTACTCAGGGTTAACCACAAGTTGAAGGGATCCTGAGCGAATAGCAAATTATTAGAAAATTAGTTGTGACATTCACGAGAAGGACTTGAAGTATTTATGTTCATTCCCTTAATGGCTATTCAAAGAAGGGCAATTAATTCGTGAGCGAAATGAGCCAGAGTAGCTCGCTCATTTTTCTCCTGTCAAATCAGCAAAAAATGAAAAATAAGAAGAAAAATCAATTTTAAAAATTATGTAAAACTGATGAAATATTCCCATTCAAAATCGCTATACTTCCTCATTCAATTTTCTAATGTAAATAAAAGCAGATATGATACCGAATTTAACAGGTTAATGGACTGAGTGGCGCTGAGTTGACGTCAACCTCTTACCATTTTCTTTGTATGCCTGATTAAATAACCAATGAGAATGATAATCCACACAATAATATTTACTTAATATACCGAGAGGTGGAATCTGAATAATTAATGGGGAAGAATATACGCTGAAATTCTTTCATTTTAATGGTTGTATGATGAATCATCGAAACTCATTCATCTGAAAAACTTTATTATCTGGAATCAGTGGTATTGGGTAATACGCGGGTATGAAACAATCAAAAGCCTTGGCCACTAGTAGGTCAGCCATCGAGTAGGGGAAAGTGTGGGGCCCCTCATGCACGCATCGTTTCACTTTTAATGAGCGAAACAACAACCCAAAATAACATCCAACAGTAACAAAAACATAGTAGTAAATGTTGAAGTGATTATTCCAAGAGTATTATGGGTTATGATTCGAGTTATTTTCGAGGTAATCACTGTAATTTCAACAAAAATGACTACTTCAGATTTTAATGCAAACGGTTTCTTTAGAATAATTACTTTCGATCGGAAATATTGTTCCGTGAATTACAGAATCTGGAATTGACTTTCGAAATTGACAGCTGTCTTCTCATGAACATTAATCCATCTTTTTGAGACTTGGAGATATTAATCGAAAATTGACCTTGAATTTAACTTATCTCATCAGCCAATTGAGAAAGACATTGCCGTTTAATTAATGACAACATCTCGTGTGATAGAGCATTCCTATCAGTTGAAAAAGCTGACGACAAAAATCGAAAAACTGGGATTTTTCCCAGTAATTCTGCCGATGAGACACTGAAAAAAAATACCTCTGCGGTTTGTTGTACTTCATAATAGGCTTGGCGTCATTTCTAAGCGGTTCAGCCGAGATAGCCTGTCTCTTCGCCCTCTGGCCAGGCCCAAGTGGCCCAGTAGACATGGACAACTCAACAATCTGTCGAAACTTGTCGATTTCATTCTGCAGATATCTAATAGTGGCGTCTCTCTCATCCACCGCTTTCTCCAATACTTCCACCATCTCATCTTTTTGTCTAAGTGCCTCAGTTCTCTCGTAAAGCAGACGCTTGAGATCCCTGACAGAATCCATGTCGTTTATTTTACTCAATTGAGTGGAAGTACAACACTTTGTGCAAGATTGCACTTTCACTCTGTACCACGTATTACCAATTTTGATTTTTAATTCAACAACTGCACCATAGCAATTTTTTTCATTCAGAATATTCGATAACGTGGGACTAAAATCGTAAAACCACTTCAATCATTTTTATATCCATGTCTACATGGAACTTAAAATCACTGATAATTATATCGATTATTTATATTTCAAATCGGAACTACTCGACCCACTATTTCTCTCACTGGTGGTCAGTTACTGGTTACACTATTACGTAAGACACTCACATATTTCTCATCTTGGAAAGTTAACGTTCACAGAAGATTAACAATTTTTAATCAATTAATTTTTTTGCTTCGGGTATTATTTGAGGAAATCCAGTGTAGTCAGATCATGACGATTGTCCGGAATGGATTGACGTCTATTTTTTAATCACGGAACGTTGATAGATATCTTCCCTCACTCCAGAGAAAAGAATAATGGTGAGGAGTACCGTAAGTGGTAGTTTTCGTTCAAAACAATTTTATCAAAAAAGACTTCATGAAATTATGAGGAACATTCCAATCAATAAAGAATGAGAATTGATGCTCATTGGATGAGTTAAATAACTTCCATTGGCGCTGCAACAACTTGAACACTAGAAATATAATTTCCAACTGAAAGAGAAACCCATAGATGAGTTAAAACGCCTGCTTCTAAAATTAATAATGTTGACCTCGGAGGGCGGAAATTTTCTACCACTGAGTGATGTATTACTAGCTGCCTAAACCACGAGAATATTCACACTAAAACTGCCGTGATTTGCTGCAACAATTTTTTTGTGATAATTTGTTTTCAATGAGTGAAAAAGTTTATTTAACAATAGATTTAATTTCACTAGGCGATTGCGATGGTGACACCTGCGGATTCCAGCGTGGAATGAAGAATAAAAATCCAAGTATTCAGCTCATCGTTGGTAGTACAGTGGCACGGTCACGTAGAGGTTCATGTTCCCCTAAAGGCACTTCGCTCACTTATTCAGTCTCAACTCCCTGAGCATCAAGGACTTTT